ACCGATCGACATGTACAGAATGCTATCCTCTTCGATTTTGTTGAAAGCAATTTGAAAGGTGTGGAAGATTACACAAAGGCTCTCCAAATCGTACATGATCAAGAACCAATGCAAGCATATCTTTCTAATTACGCAATTCCCATTGTTGCGGATTGGCCTGGTCAGTTTTTCATTCGTAAAGCTATTGTACATTGGCTTAACAACAACGAAGCTATTCCTTCATTCATTACAGCATTTTTACCTATTATGGACCCTCTCCATGTGTCTTTAAATGGTCATGAACTCGTATTTAAGGAAAATTCGTTTTTATTTAACAATATTTATAAAGGACTATTTGGAAATTGTAAGAATCTTGGTAAGAAGCCACGGCCATGGCAAATTGATTTAATTCTTCACATCATGCGCATGGCATGGCTTGATATAGATGCTATTGTTTATTCTAAGTTTGGTCATACAAAAAACATCGAATTTTTATATTTAACCAATCTTTTGAGCAATTTAATTCCTTTAGTTCTTGACGTTTACGCAGTGCACCATCGAGAAGGTAACTGGTTGGCTTATGAAGAAGCTTGTATGCGTTGCTGGAGTGATCTTTTTCTTCAGTTTGATCGGAGAAATTATAAGCGTGCACCTTTAATGTTTTTTTCTGATGTCTTTTATTGGATGGAGACAAATCATCCGATGATTGAGATGGTTACTAATCATCTCGCCTCTTTAAGTGATAGTCCTGTAGAAATTATTCACAGTATTATTCGACGACGTACAGCTAAGTTTTCCACTGCACAACAACTGCAAAAGGAGGCACGTTTTATTTTTCAACATCGAGAGGATAATACTTTTAGACAACATTTCATAAATTCTGTTAAATATCCATATACACCGAAGCAATTGCATATGCTTACACGAAAGTGTGCTGTATTGCTTTTGGATATGTTTGCAAAGATATATCAAGCACGAAATCAGTATCCTTTAATTACTAAAACTTCATCTAATGGTATTAACTCATACAAATTACCTTCTTTAGTTTACGAAATAACC